GTGCCCCCCCCCCCCCCCCCCCAGCATATCCAGTTTTTCTTTTTTAAATATACGTTTGAAAGAGGATCATTTTAACGGAGAGTCTTTTCCCTTCGTGTTCTGCGTTAACAATCTCAGACCCGTGCACCCGTGTTCCCATAGTTCCAGTCCAGTCCCCCCACCCACCCCCAAGCTGCCGAATGTGAACTACAGGCACGATTGCCAGTCTTCCTGTGGACAAGAGTTTGTGCTGGGGGAAGAGGCTGCCTTTAAAATTGGCAGGATGCTCCAGTTCTGTCCCGTGTCTTTTTGCACTTTGCACATCCTCACTCTGTCACGTGTCAAAGCTGTGTACGTCTGTATACCTGTTCCTCTGTTCGTCCTCAAATGAGATTCTATACTTAATGTTGTTGATATCATGATGGAGACGATGATGTTTTGCTCTAACTTTTTTTTTTTCCTTTGGCCACGTGCACAACTGTCAAAGTATTAGAATTAAAATATAGAGATACTGTGTAGATAAGAATGGGGTTTTTTTTCAGTGGATAAGATTGCACTGGTTCCCATGGTTACAGTATTGTGTATGTATTTGTAATTATGGTCAAAAGTTCTATCAAAGGAAGAGTAAACACAGTCCAGAGCTTCTGGGCTCCTCTGATTCGTAGTAGCATCATGTATCGTGTAGCCTGAATGTGACCCTGGAAATAAAGGTTAAAAGTCCAGTCTTATTAGAATTAGGGGAAATTGTTACATGGCTTCGGGGCATTAACGCCTTGAATCGATTGCTTCTTCACCCACTGTAACCTTGGCCTGTTTACGTTTATTGAAGGATTCAGTATCGAAGGACGAATTCCTGACTACTGAAAATGAATATGTTTTCTCATGGTGTATTGCAGCTTGTATTCTTAAAAAAATAATTTAAAAAACTACTGATTTTGTAATTATCAGAAAATACTGAAAGATACTGGTTGTATTAACCTATTTTGAATAAATTGTATATTTTGCTCATTTTTGTAGTATGTTATGTTCATTTGCTTGTAGGAAAGCTGGCAACAGGCTCCTATATTTACACATTAAGTAAAAAAGACATTTAGGGATGTAAGTAAAAAGCAAATTTGTATGAACACCTTGTCTTTGGGGTATGGGGGGAAAATGGAGAACGGCTGATCAACCTACTGAGCCGTGTGCCACACTGATCTGCATTGTCACTATGAGTTTGCTTGGAAAGTTAAGAGGTTAAGAGGACAGAAGATGGATGGGGGTATGATTTCAGTTTAATTTGAATATTGGGTGACTGAAATGCTCTGTGCAGTAAAAAAGTGTAGACAGCTCAAGGTCATCAAGAATTTAATAGGCCTTAATTATTTTTACCCCCATAGAAAACTGGCCCATGGCCCTTTCAGAACACGAACCCCTCTGCCTTCTCTCTCTCAGCTGAGGCAGCAGAGTCCCCATTGTCGAGTGGCTCTGAGAGACATGCTCTTGAAAGAAGTTATCCAGCTCTATTCTCCGCCCTCAGAAAAACACACGCTCTGCGGACGTGGGGTCCCAGAGGGCAAATTCTGGGGGGAAAAAAGGCTGCGTTGTTCTGGCATCAATCAGAGGGCCCCTGAAGGTCAGCGGGAACGAAAGGAGGAAGCAGGAATTGGGGGAAACTGCCGGAATCCGGCAGGAACATGACTGTAAGCACGGGTCTGCCAAAACCTCAGTTTGAGGCTCTTGCACTCACTTGGAATGGCGAATTTATTAAGATTTCGGGAATATTAGGAGCACATTTTTGCATGTATATGCAATTTTGTGTGGCTGCCCCGTGCACAGAATTTTTTTTTTTAAATACGTTGGACACTGTAATGTGTGTCTGCTTGGTCATTTTAAGCTCAAGAGCTGAGTCGAAGTTCCCTGTAATGTGAAACTGCACGAATCTTACGGTTTAATTTACTAAGGGGATATATGCCCAACAGTGTCAAAAATGAAATAATAAAAATGAAAACAACCTCATTCGTGGCACATTAATAGGATTCATAGTTTTATGAGGGGGGTTGATGCTTGTGTTTAATACTAGCTGTTAATGGGGCACCAAAGTTTGCTGTATCTAAGAACCTTCCCGCGTTCCAAGCCTAACACTCGATGGGTCTCGTGAATGAGGCTTTTATCTGCATCAGAATGTGGATTACCATGATGGGAGCCCCTCACGCATGAGGCGAGGCCACACAATGGAGGATAAATCACATGATTGGAGACCGGCCTAACCTCATATCCCCTGGTCCAGCCTTCTTTTTTGTGTGTTTGATTCAGCATTCAGGCCTGACCAGCGGGCAGGAACATCGCTCATTGCTCGTCTTGGCGAGGGTGAATCAGCAACATCAGCAAGTCGTATGGAAAGCGCCTGATTTCTCCAGCTGCTGGTTAGCAAAGCCCTGCCTGTAAACACACCATTTGGAAGTGAACAGTTCTGCCACCTGCAGCTGAAGTTTTGAGAGATTTCCATTCCTATCTTTTTGAAACTTCAACGGAAAGTTTATGTGAACCAAAAACATACTGACACTGCGGACAGTTGTGGCGTCCAGTAGAATTACGGGGAACCGACATTCGAAAGGGCATCATGATGATAAAGGCAGAGGTGTGAAGATTTCTTTACTGATCAGACGTTATCGCCACATGCAGATGGCTTAGTGCTAAAATACCAGCCAAAGACTCAGGCGTAAGACTTTTGGTAAATATGTCAAACAACGTGTGAAAATGAAACATAAATGAAAAAATTCAGTGGAATTACCCTTTGAAAAGCAGCAACCAACCTCAGTCAGCACAACATATGACAAATAGCCTTGGGGTTCATGTCATGCAGAATGTAATATTCAGATGACTATGATTAACAACTACGAACTGGCAACCCTGCTGTCTCTGACTCACTGGTCAGACATACAGTACTGACAGATATTTTCTTATGAAAGTGCGCTGCATACTTAAGCACGATAAGACAATGTGATGCCAAGTGAGTGACTATAGTTTTCCGTTAATGTAATTTTTCATGACTTCACTCAGTAATAATATGTAGCCATGACATCCTGATCCGTCATAAAAATAAAAAAGGGAAATTAACTGACTCCAGTTTTTAAGAGTTGTCTGCAATCTTGCTAGCACATCTGCATTTCCATTACATAATCTCCTTATAGGAAAATTGGTGTGGAAAATGGATGGATGTTTTCCTGCTATATAAATTCAACAACTTTATCATTATCATACCAGTCTAAAACTTTACAGGCCCCATTTCCATTATGGAACTATATAAGCACGCATTAACCCACGGACTCAGAGTGCAGTTATAAATTCGTCCTTTTGCCCTAGCAAACCGATAAATATTTCACCGTCGTTTCAAAATCGAAATCACCCTTAGTGATTTTGTCCTACAGCCCTACCCGACCAGCTTATACGGGAGGCTGTTCTTGAGACATATGTATCCAGTCTGGAGCGCAACAAAAAAATTAATAAATAACAAGCGAATAAATAAAAGGACGACGAACCGCCTATGACTTTTAATTTGAAGCATATATCTGGCTCTTGACGTCATCGACCATTATTTGAATGTGTCTAAATCAGCAGGCATCCATTCTGCGTTTAACCTGCTGTGGTCTCCGGGTATTTCCATGCGAAAACTAGCACTGGTGCTGTTTACAGTGGGATATATGTTTCGTCTTTCACATAGTAGTCCTGCCATTTTCAGACTTATTTGGCTGACGCTTCCCCACATCGCGAGTTTGGACACTTTTTTGCCAGGTCTACAAGAAACTGTACTTTACGACGTGGGTTCCCCAAACTTTTTAGCACACGATTCACAGAATAACAGGGGCGCGGCCCCCATTTTGCGGGGGGCTGCCTCGGTAGATTTCGAAGACCGGGTGGAGGGGGATCCCCTTCGGTAGGTTTATCGCTGTGGGTTGGTTGCGGTTCCGGTTAGAAATCAGTGGAATTTTTCACGTTTATCCCACTTTGGGAACCCCTGCTTTAGAATATGCTGCACACTTCCGTGACAATGTTGTTATTTATATTCAATGGGTTTTTTTTTCAGTGTCAGGCTTTCACGCAAAATATTAATGACACTGATACTTTAAAATTTTTAATAAGTTCTTCATTTTGAAAACGTGGCAATATTAATATTAAGCCGGATTGATGTGTAAATGAGTTAAATGACTAATCATTGGTATTTTTACATAGTCAAACAGTGTTATTCGTTTTAGCAATAGGCCTATATCTTGTGGGTGGGAAAAAGATAATCCTGCTATTTCTTGCGACTGTTAAAATAAGCATGTCAGCCAGTACCGACATGTATAGGCAAGAGGTTAACGTGAGTTTCTTCTGAAGTTACTAATTACAGTTCAATACTGTGATGTTACCGCCCAACAAACGTGAACTGTATGAAACAAAATCGGCGCGTTTCAAACATGCTAGACAGGGTAAACGGAAAAGGACCTTTCTGTATGATTATGAAAAGGAATGCCGTTTTTCTTATCAAATGGCTCACTCATGGGAGGACTGTAGATGTAAGATAACCAAAATTTTTCCCAACGTAAAACTGCAGCTTGAGATAGTTCAACGGTTTCCAGCTAATGTTCAGACTGAGGTTCCTATGTAAAGTAGTGCTGTTAAGCAATGGTGTTGCAATAACTATTTGTCATGCAGCGTTTTAAATATTACAGCAAATTGCACTGCCAAAAATATAAACGTTATTATTAATGTAGTCTGGTGATTTATATCTGACAGAATTAAGCCACAGGCATCATCTTAGATTGTATCTGCACAAGTAGTTGTGTTCAGGGCTAGAGTTACCAGAAATGTCTAGTTTCAGGATCAGAATTACACTCGCCATATTATTAATTTAGTATGATAAAACAATACGTAATGCTATAGGCCATATGAAGTTTAATGACATGATTATATTAACATTCTATTAATTTCATCGTGAATATATCTCCTCAGACCTTGGACCATTTTAATATATCACACAAAAGCATAGATTGCACTATGCATATTTTAAATTGTTGCAATAAATTTGTTCCATAGTTACTGCGTTAACGTATGTTAGTCACCATTTCCGCCAGCTCAAATATAAATATGTGGGCGTGAAGTTCAGCTATCTCCTTTTCATGGCTTAACAACTACCAATTTTATTTATGTGCGTGGTTCCCCCCCCCCCCCATGTTACCTTCGTCTTTAAAACGAAGGCGTGGCTTTTCATTTTAACATGTGGGCGTGGCTTCTCTCACCACCATATTTTAATGTGGCGGCACGCTTTCTCGTTGCTGTCATTTTAATATGGAGGCGTGGCTTCTTGCTGTTGAGCTCCTCGCCATCTCGATCTACGACGGGATAGGACAGGAGGGAACGCCTGGGCAGCATGTAGCCGGGCTTGTTAGGCGGCATATTGTTTCGTTCGCCAAACATTTCTGCATATTAATACCGAAGTAGGAGAGGGTAAACAACGATGTTATTGTGTAGGAGAACGAGCGGTTCGGTGATCCAGCTCATGAACTCTTGCGGAGGACTGCAAGTTGGAAGGAGGGACGTCACCTGGATATTGCATAATCGTACCTTTGCCAGATCAAGGTTTGATTATGGATATTCGCAAAGCCGTGCGGCTGTGTTTTCGCAGCCAAAAAGGAGTGAGATCCTGGACAGCGCATTCAGCACTGAAGCCCGGGCATTCAGTCTTTTTATTCCGGCGCATTTTGTGAAAATGACACCGAAACCTCATCCCGCCGCGACCCTCTTTACAGGTGCTACGGGTAATCGCCGCCTCCAGCCTCCCATTATGACGGGACCCTTGCAAGCCGGGAGGCCCGGCGGACTAAGTGCCGCAGGACCGATTGCGCTCCCGCCAGGGAAGGGACCCTGCGCCCTCCGGTGCCCTGCAACCGGGGTAACACTGAGAGCGTCATCCGCCGCCGCCGCGGAGAAGCGCAAAGAAGGCGTGGAAGGCACCGTTGCAGAAGTAAACGCGGTAAATGTTCATC